TTTAACATCATCATAACTCCAGGGCCATTTATTTGAACAAGCTTGAATCAGCATGATATGGGAATGGCTGGGTATTAATATGATTTAGTATCGCCCTGTTACTCTCAAACACTTTGTGGAAATTTCGTAGATATTTTGATGTAAAAAATTTTAATGACGAATTTGCTCCATATTTTGAACAGATAAGAATCTTGTGTGCTACAATGGGATGCTAATATGAAATATGAGCAATTGTTGCGCTGCTATTTTAAAAGCTTTTTTAAAAAAAGAAACTGTCCCTATATATTCTGTATGAATGTTTGATCACTTATTGTGGTCCTACATAATTCTCGGGGCCACGATTTAAATAAATTTGATTTTGCACCATCTGGGAATGCATGTATAATAATGCACTGTGCTTATGATTTTTATCGTGGCAGAACTGTTCTTGAAAAGATTCATCATCAAGATTTTTTCTTACATATTTCCATCTAAGACTTTGAATCAAAAAAAAAAAAAAAAAAAAAAAAAAAAAAAAAAAACAGCCTCAACCTATCGCTGGGACCATGATTTATACAAAATTGAGTCGGCATGACGATTGCATATTTCAGAATATTAACATCACTTTTCAGGGTCCTGCGGTTCTTGAGAAGAAGATTTTAAAATAATTTCTGGTAGAACAATATGAGAAAAATATGTAATTATTTTAATATATTTTGCATGTATTCTTCTTGGATTTGATTAATTTAGTAATATTGCAAAATATCTGCGTGTATGTGTAAAACCTTCTGTCTTTCGGCCTGTCAGGATTAAGTTATCAATAGATCCGCCTCCATGACTGCGAATCTTAGGACATATTCACGTGTTCTGATCAAACTTAAGCTAGGTATTTAACACTGTTTTATAAAGATAATGGTGTAATAGATTATGACTAAATGATAACTTTGTTAAATCTGTCTCTCCCATTAATGAAAAATTTTACAGTTGGTTAATGGGGATTTAAATTACAACAGGTACTTCTTTGATTTGTATCTAATGTAAACAAAAGACACACAGCTATAGAATAAGAAAATTTGAATCGAAAAATAATGTTTGAAAATGTAAAATAATTGCATTACATATAGTGATTTACATCGTGTATTTAAAAATGGACAATCAAAACAACTCTGGAGGAATGTTGTGTCAAAAGACTCGGGATTAAAAATGATGAGGGTATGTATATGTTTATTTGTTCAGACATTTGATCCACTTCTTGAATCACTGATTTTGGTTTCTCGTTCTACTAATTATTTTATATACTTGTAGAGAACCCAGGAGAGATCAAAGAGACATAGACGAAAAGCAGGTGCGTGAATACATAATGACCTCTATAAATATTTATATCCACAAATTTTGCTATGTACAACTCAAATCAAAAACTGGTAATTCGCAGCTCGTTTTTTGCTCAATCGCATATATTATAAAATATGAGAAACAACGTTATATGAGTGAAAATGTCATTTAATCAAATAAATGACGAAAACAGACAAAATATCTAAACACATACAAATATTGAATTGGCTGGGATATAAAGTCAAGCAAACAATGTTTAAATCTGACTATATTCAATTAGAGAACATGACGACTAGTCATATAATAGAAATCCCAGCCAATACAACTTCAAGAAAGTTAACTACAATAATTAACAAAAATTTGTTTTCTTTTTTCGTAATATTTATTTCTTTTCCAAGTCAGAAGCAACAGATCTAGAAGAAATATTTCCAAATTCTTACTTATAGAACAATTTGAGTATAGAAGTATTTTTGCAGCATAAAAAGGACAGTAAATAAAATATGTAGGTCTAAATCTAAAGAAAAAGATTAGAATGGCTGCATCAAAATGATTTAATGTCCAGTTGAGGAAATGTATGTATTAAAATTCTGATAAAAATTCAAATATTGTGGTGAACGACAAAGATGAAGTCAATTATTCATTTTATCACACGTTAAGAAAGTTTTATAAATTAAGTGTTACCATTGAAGAAACCTTACATAACAAAACAAATAGAAACAGTAATAACAAAGACTAACTATCTAACAAACAAGAGCATAATAAATCTCTATGTTTCATCTCAGTACAAAAAATATTCAAAAATAATATTTTTAAGAAAGTATTTTTTTCAGCTAATAGAAAGAGAAGTGATACAGATTGTGTGTGTGTATATATATATATATATATATATATATATATATATATATATATATATATATATATATATATATATATATATATATATATATATATAATTTATAATCAAGTAAGGTTATTGAGCTTTATCAATTAACAATGGCTATTTTCATTCTTATGTCGAAACGATATATCCTGGTGAACTTGAGATTAAAGATACCACAGAGTCTGACACATCTGTTTCATATTTGGATATTTTACTTGAAAAAGACGTTAATGGTAATCTAACAACCAAGCTTTATGATAAACGTGATGACTTTAACTTTTCAATCGTCAACTTCCCTTACTTATGCAGCAATATACCTTCATCACCTGCATAGGGGGTATATATCTCTCAGTTGATTCGATACGCAAGAGCATGCTCTACGTATGTACAAATTCTAAAACGAGGTAAATTATTGACAAATAAGTTGATGAAACAAGAATATCAGCTGTCTCGTTTACAGTCATCATTTCGTAAGTTCTATGGTCGATACAATGACCTTGTCAGCAAATACAATTTATCATTGAGTCAAATGCTGACTGACGTTTTTCATACTAATTGTTAGGCCATTATTTACACACTGAATTGTCGACGGATTTTTCCGTTATTTCCCGATCATGACAAGGAGAACACGGCGGGTGTGACCGGTCGTCAGGGGATGCTCACTCCTCCATGGCACCTGATCCCACCTCTGATGTTTGGAGGTCCGTGTTTGCTCTGCTCCTATTTTGTATTGTATAATGGACTTTTGAGCTTGAATACTGTTCGTTATCTCCATATATTTCATCTTTGATAAAAGAAGTAAAAGTACAAAGTAAATGCATGAAATTCACATCATGCTTATCTAAAATCTAGATGGAATAATAATGAAGTAATACATGTTTAAAATAACCCTTACATAAAAAGGGTTATTATCCTCTTTTGATATTAGCGGTAATTTTTAAATTAACGAATTTATTCTTTGACTTTAGTTTTATCTCGTTCTATTGGGTAAATAAATATTTTTTGGCTTCCAGCAATGATTTAAAAAGTATACAGCGAAACATCAACTCTGACATTTGAAATTAAATCTATTTAAATGGCAGGTACTAGACATTATCATTAATTCGACCCGAAACAATTTTTTTGACTCTGATTATATGAAATTCAGACTTGTTTTCGGTACTGTTTGTATGTCTGCTAACGTAATGTGTGGTATTTTTGACACAGGAGTATGAACTTCTTGAGTTAAGATCATTGGTGTAAGTAAGTATAGCACAAACAAAATAATATTTCGTTTTTTGACCTTTATTCCAAGGACATTTAGCTTTTCCGAAACAATCAGGGTTCTCCACATTTGAAAATTTAACCATGGAGGAAGCTGCGCGAAGGCGAAATGTGACCGAAAACATGAATGTGTGTTAGACTTCCTAGCCTTCATTAATCAATGATTGGTTTCACAAAACTTATAACCACTGCAATACAAAAAGTTGAAATAACCAATAATTTTTAAAGCTAAAAAAATAATATAAAATATTATGTATCTTCCTTTACAAATATGTATCAAAATTGGCCCAATTGGAACATTTTGAAGGAATTTAAAAAAAATATTTCAGTGATAGAGTAACCATGGCAACATTATTGAAAAACTGATATACAGAATTGATGTTGCCTGTTGTATGAAACATATTGTTTAAATATGACTAAAACTGATAAAAAGGAAGTATTTTGAAAAAAAAAAAGTTACAGACAGACAAACAAACAGATGAACGAACACCGACATCCTATGTCTAAGCTTTTCTGCATGAAAACTTACTGATGTATGAAAACTTACTGATGTATGCATGGTAAAAGTAAATTAATATAACCAGGGGCATATATTTGACATAACTGTAATTTTGCTTTCTCTATTCTGTTTTTTTTTTTTTTTTTACATACATGTATTGCATTCTGCATTGTTTACTTTTACTTTTCCACGTGCACCATTGCTAAAAATAGCACCACGCGATGTTTCCTAAAACGGGAGGTAACTCTAAAACTAAGACGACGATTGGCTTTTATGAACATTCTATCAGAGAGATAATCAAGTTAATACTTAAGTACTATTCCACGTAAGAATCAGGCAGGTAGCACTAATTAGGCGGTACAGTGAAAATCTGCGAATTCATTAATACTGTGTTTAATGTATTCATTTGGGTCTAAAATGAATGATGACTAATGATTTTGCTATAATTCTCCTTTCATCACACAGCCGGGGATAAGTTTCTCAAGGGGGGTGCTGTGTATAAATTGTATGTAAATAGTGCATATATCATGAAATAATTTCCTTAAAACCCAAGAGGATTTGGGAAAACTAAATACATGATTACAATAATGATGGAATATGAAAAGAAAAAGTACTTTAATATTTTTGTGCAAATGAATGATTGGAAAGATAAAGGGTTACTAAATCATGGAATTTGCTACAATTCATGGTAAGAGTTATCTCCCTTAGGAAGCTTACATAGGTGGCGCTAGTAAAAAGAACAATGGCAGCCTCCATGGCAGGCTGCTTGGCAAAGTTGTTTTGGAGCAACGTGCGTTATGTATTGCAAATATCTGAGTGAATTGACATGAATTGCACTAAAGAACTGCACAAGAACAGAATCGTACATACGTGCACGTGTAAACGAAGTGAATAATCTGTTAAGAGAGACGATGAGGTTGTATCAGCAACTTGTGTATAAAATGACTATGGAATTACTGTCCTCGTGATGATCAAGATAATGCCAATTTGTTCATACTGATATCAGTATGGTCAATGTCGGAAGTTAAGCTTTGCAAGGTCATCCACCAAAATCCAAAAGTGAGCCCCCAGACAGGGATGACCGTCCGAATGTGTCCGCTTACTCAACTTGGAAAGGGGAAGTAATGTAGTTTTGAAAGAGGTGAGATTTAATAAGCAGGGTAAATTGACAATTATAAATGATTATTGATTACAGTTAAATTATCTGTTAAACAGTAAATTATATTTATTGGGGTAGCCAGTTCATGATGTGTAATTTGAAATGTGACATCATAAGCTTAGTAATTGTTCTTATGTACAATCATTGTAAAACTTGGCCAGATTAAAGGGATTTGAGGGGAATGTTTTTTAGTATATGTACATGCAGTTCAGTTTAATAAGTTATAGTAATCTAGTATAAAAATGAAGAAGCATACATCATTTACTAAATCTGTTAAAAGTAATAAATTTTATAGGTTTTATTTTTAATTTAGTGTCTTAAACTTTTCTCTTTTAAAATTCCAGGTGTACTCAATGTATAACCAGCTGATAACCAAGTGACTGAAACAGAAGAGTTTGTATCTCATAGTCATTGCCTCAGTTGACCTGAACTAGAAGATGTCAAAACATTTCAGTGGTAAGGGTCAGTCTGTTTTGTATGCAGAGACACTGCATGTGCCTAAACTGTCCACACCAAAGCTGCTAAAATATAAGGCCCTCTGTTTTAATTATACTCAAACAGTACATATGGCATTTGTACATTAGTATGAACATTCAGTGGGATATAATTGGTTAAAAAAAAAACAAATATGTATATAAAATAACAGCACCCCAAAATTTTTCATCAGCACTGATGTCAAAATTTGGCCAGCCAGCATCACATTTAACTACCCCCCCCCCCCCCCACCACCGCCAGCCACAATGTTTTGTGTTCTTTAGCCATTTAAAGATGGCCATTGAAAATGACTAATAAATACCTGACCTAAGCATGGACAGAAAAAAAATACATATAACTGTGATATCAAATTATAACAGGTTGTAAACAATTAAACATGATAAAGATATTTTGTTCAGAAGAAATGCTTTTAACTTTTTTTTCTTTAAAAATTACAATAATTAATGATAGAATATAAATAGATATACAGGTATACTGAAAATTCAGAACCAGTTATTGCTGACTTACATTTTACTGACGTTACTAAGGTTTTTATCAAGCTAGTTTCTTTGAAACAGTCTAATGTGGTTTGTATATCTTATTCATTAGAATCAGGGTTGTTAAATTGATGTATTAAATTTTTGTTTTTACATGTACCTGTTTTGATGTCCCGCCATGAATATAGCCTCAATAGATATAGCATATAGTGTTTGTCATGTCCATCTTCCATCCTTCAGTCTGTCCTTCCATAACATTTTGTGTTTATCTCAGTTTGAAAGAAACTATTCAAGATATTTTTATAAAACTTCATATGCTAATGCATATATAATGAATTATTGATAAAAGCTATTCAACTGCATCACCATTTTTTTTACCTTGACCTTTGCTTTGACATTGACCTCACTTCTTAAATAAGTGTTTAGTTCAGTTTCAAAAAAACCCTTTAAGATATTTTTATCAAACTTCATGTACTGAAACATATAGATATATTCAGTAAATTTCAGTTCAACTGCATCAACATATTTATACCTTGACCTTAACTTCACATTCCTTTAAATAGTGTTGAGCTCAGTTTCATAGAAACTATTCAAGATATTTTTACGAAAGCTTAAATGCTGATGCATATTGGTGAGAGCTATTCAACTTCATCAATATCTTTTACATTGCCCTTTCCTTACCTTTGACCTTGCAGACTTCACTTTTCTTAAATTTATTTTAAGTTTCAATGAAACCATTCAATATGTTCAAGACATTTTTAATTGAACTTACTATGCTGATACATAATTGATGTAAGCCATTCAACTTCATTTTTTACCTTGACCTTTATTTTGACCTTGAGCTATTCAAAGGGGAAGAAAATAGGGTGAAGTCTGAAAAATCTTTTTCTCATTAGGCCATTCCAAGTTTTTTCTGTGTTTAGTGTCCACCCATCTTTCAAATACCTACCTACCTATTCGCAAAAAACACACAAACCAAAAAATAAAGCACAAGACTTCATAGTCATAAAAATGACACTTTTCAAAAGATTGATTCCATTAATCTTTTTTTCTCGTAGAAATATCTATTCTTCAGCAAAATCAAGGTATTAAATGCTTACAATATTCAAAATATGACATTTTGTAGACAAATACTTTGAGAAATTGACAGAATTCAGTGATTTTGACCAGAATAAACAATTTCAGGACTCCTGATTTTGTTTGTTTTTTTGTGATATGGGATGTCAAAAAACCAAGGCTCCCGCAGACGCTAAGCATAGAAAAAACTTGGAATGGTCTTAACCAACAGAATTTTCCTCACCTGAGCTAAAAGCTCATGCTGAAAATAGAAATTCCTGTAAAATTCCTTCAAAACGCTACTCCTCCTACAGTTTTGGTCTGATTTCAATATAACTTGGCTCAGAAGTAGACTAAGATACATAATTTAGTGCATTGGTTTTTGATTTCGATGAATGGTGTTACCATGGTTACTGAAAATAGAAATTTCTGTGAAATACATTCAAAATGCTACTCCTACAGTTTTTGTTTGATTTCAATATGACTTGGTACATAAGTAGACTACATTAAGATACATAATTCTATTTATTGCTGCATGTTGCAAAGTTTCAAATCCAAGTGCTATGCATACAGACCAGTAGAGCTACAGTCTCATCAGAGACTTCTGGTTAACATAACATTTTTTAAATTTTATACAGAAGCTCTTTACTGTAAGAGAAAAACACCTATGCATTTTGGGGTCACATCACTTAGTCTGTTTGTCTGTATGTACATTCAAATACATATCCATTGACACCTTTGCTACATGAATGTATGAAACGATAACTCAAGCAGTTTTTTAATGAATTGTTTTCAAATATTACTGAAGTACTTAATTGTAGAGAAAAGCATTACTTGGTCATGCAGGTCTGTTTATATGTATGTTTGAATATTTGCTGTGACCCGATAAGTCAAACAGGTTTCATCATTTCTATTTAAATTAGTTTTTCTTTGTTCTTAATTGATTCAGATGTGACAAAGCTTTGCAAGCTGAATATCAGTCCCATGATAAAATGAATACTGACTATTTTAAACTTCAATTTTGATTGAAGAAATTGCATGTGTATTTAAATTTAACCTTTAATACTTTTATATCAATTCTTTGGTGATAGTTGATTAACTTATCATTTCAGAAATCTCAGGAAATGAAATCATCACACCTGTCACAAAACAAAGACTGGAGTTCAGAGAAAGAGTTCAACACTTTGGATAAAATTAATGATCGAGGCAGTGACTTTCATCTTCCATGAATCTATAAGCACTTAAGACTGCAGTTTTATCATGTTTATGTTTCAGTATAAGAAACTACTAAACAAAGGGCAGTCGTTGACTACAAAAAGAAAACCTGGGTTGACTTGTGATATCCTGTTTAACATGAATGCCCAATACCAAGGTCTAAAACTAAAAGATTTATTTTTCATGAATTCACCTATGTTTAGATTTTTTGAATATGAAATCATTTGGGTATAAGATCAATTTGAATGGCAAACAAGCAGATGACTTGGTAATGATAGGACACGTATGAAAAATATCACTCAAATTGTGAATATTTACTAGTTACTGTGTTTTTGGTGTGGATGGAAATGTATAACAAAAAGGATAACAAAAAATAATTATCTGTGTGTAAATAAAAAAACAAGTTGTATATTATACAATTAAGTTAGTTCAATGATTTAATTACCTGAAGAGTACATTATTCTCTGACCTCAAAAACAGCCTGAGATATTTAACATTTTCATGTTTTAGCACTTTGGGATTATCTCCCCTTTTCAGTTAAATTAGAACATAATTTACAAATTGTATATGTTATAAATTAGAACACTGGATATCAAAATATTATATTGATTAATTGTAAAAAGCAAATAGTTGTACTGTATTTGAAATTGCAAATTAAAAAAAAATTGTTTTGAAATATCAAATTAATTTTACATGCACGCATCTATGGCATATTCTGGACTTTGACAAAAATAGTGAAATTGCTCTTTTTTGTTTGAAACTTACCCATATTTTTCAGATATTGATAATAATTTACACAAAAATGTTTTATTCTTTTATAAACCATAGGGTATGATGTCTATGAAAATAACATAGCCTTTTGAGTTGGATGTTCAGTTCTTATATTTTTTTAAAAGCTGAAAATCCTCAAAAAATCGGTATTTTCATGTTTTTTGCAAATTTGGATTTTCTCCCTTTTTCAGTGAAAAATTAGAAATTTTTCCTGGACATGGAATTATTTTGATTAATTGTGAAAAGTTACTTGTGTTGTTGTGTTTTGAGTTGAAAATATAAAGAAATTGTTTTGAAATGTCATATTCATTTCACTTGTATACATCTATGGCATATACTGGACTTTGACAAAAATAGTGAAAAAGCTCTTTTTTGTATGAAACTCATCCATAATTTTCGGATATTAATAATAATTTGCACAAAAATGTTTTTATACTTTTATTAGCCACAGGGTATGATGTCTATGAAAATAGCACATTCTTTTGATTTGGCTGTTGGGTTTTTATATTTTTTAATAGACGAAAATCCTCAAAAAATGGATATTTTCAAGTTTTTGCAAATTTGAATTATCTCCCCTTTTCAGTGTAAAATTAAAACATCATACTGGACATAAAAATATTTTAATTTATTGTGACAAGTAACTAGTTGAGCTGTATTTGAATGAGCAATAAATATAATTGTGATTTCTTTTCTGATTTTCTTTTTATTTCAACTTGAATATTGGCAATTTTTAGAGGAAATTTCAGCCATAATATGCTGCAAACAGTGTTTCTGTTGCCATGGAAACCAGACACTGATATGATAAAAAATATTTTATTTTAGGAAGTTACTAAGCATACTCTACCAGCATGCAAAGTTTAAACAAAAATGGAAACCCTTCATGTGCCGCCCCCTGCCTGATTCTTACATGGAATAGTACTTAAAAACAAAGCATGAGGAATTGATTAAATACAAACAATAGGAAATTTTGAAAGGGTTATTTTTTTTTCTGGGCACAGAAACTTGATATCAGATGGGTATCGATTATCATGTTGTTACTGCTCGTAATGTCATCTTTTGTAAATCGGTTATCGTATAGTGAACACGTTGGAATTCCCCGAAATTCAATGTGTATAGGATAATTAACTCTCAAGATATAGATCGTCAGCTGATTGACTCTCCATTGTCACGCTTCACAGCATAGTCGCTGATCATCGACCGTGTTCATGGTGTTTGTTTAGCCCAATCGGACGCTTCCCCTCGAGGCGTGCGAGGTGCATATATGCGGCAGTCGTAGTATAAACACAATTAACTACTCATCAATACTGAAATTAAATAAAAACTTAATCATGGCGGCCGCCGATTTTAACCAAGGCGCAGCTCGTTTAACCATGGGGCACATAAATTTAACCATGGCGTGCCGCCATGGTAAAACCCCTTGTGGAGAACCCTGAACAATTATATTCTAAAGTCGTTGGAAAACGATAGAATTAGAAAAATTATGTTCAAATATATTCTGAAGTACTATGAAACCTTTTTAAAAACTTTCGAAATAGGAAAATTGTGTTCCTGTGCCAGTATAAATCATAATCAACTAAATTTAGATTGTCATCTGAATTCATAAAGTGCTTTTACATAAAAATTCACATTTAATTATGGAGAAACGAAAGCTGGAAGTTTGATGCAAATCAAATGAATTTGACTTTATGTGAAGGTTTCAGGAAAAGTAAAAATAGATTGACAGAACCTTCTTTAATAACCAATATTTTATAGACCAAACAGTCTTGCCAAGGTTTTTGTAAAAAGGTACCATTTTAAGTGCAATTACTTATGTTGCCTTCAAATGGTCGCGTTCTAGGTCATATAACTAATTATACAGAAACTTTTCAAATTGCATTATGTAACCTCAGCTGTATGATTGCACTATTTTTTTTTTATTATTATAACCTTTAGATCATTATGAAATTGAACTGATATGTCATAATGTTTAAGCTTCCTTCCCTGTTATAACAACCTTAATCCATTAAGATTCGGACACTCAAGAGCTAGCTATAGTTCATCAGGTTTAAATGAAATAAAACAATCACTGAACAAAAATTCCTTTATCACACAATATAAACTACGAATAAAGCACATGAATGAGAGTAACCTGGTCCCTATATATTGAATATTTAAAAAGTAAATGTACTTGAAAGAGTCTCACTTACATTTTCCAAAATTTCACCTTTTTCTGGGGTGGTTGGGGTGGGGGTGAGCCATTTCCATTGAACATAAATAAACTGCCTAAAGTCCCTCTTCCATTTTCTGTATTCTGCAGTTCTTATGACACCTTAGGAAAGAAAAATTTTATATGTAAAACATAAAATACTCTTCTTTATGCCTGTTATTAAACATTTTATGCTATCTTCTTCCCGTGTTCTTTTTTACAACATACAGCAATCTTACCAACACAATTATGAATTCTTTTTTTCAGATGGTCTGGTAGACGGTTTTGTACAACCAACAAAAATAAAAGCATTCCTAGGAGCAAACGACATCAAGATAACATGGCAGCCTCCCCTGCACACCAAAAGAGGTACAATGATGTATCGAATAGAATGGCGGGAAAAAGCAAAGCCAGCAGCTGAAACAAATAAGGCGGATACTAAAGGACATACTTATGTTATCAAAAAGCTTATGCCGAATACAGAGTACGACGTCAGGTTACTAGCCTACGTGCCTGGGTCATTACCAACGGAGGAAAAAAAGAAATCGGAGGGTACTAGTGATATTATGCATTAAAAAATTTACAGATTTCTATGTTTTTTGTGATCTTTAAAGCAAAATGAATTAAATTATTTACAATTTTTTAACATAGAGAGTTTTATTTTAAACTTATTTTTTGTTTTTATTGTAAACTCTAGTTGCCAAAGATTTGGCTCATGAACCATTCCAAAAGATTCCTGAAGGTAAAATGTTTCTTTTTTAATGATTACATTTCTTCATTAAAGTTTTGCTGTCAGTATTAATTATATCCTAGAAATGGGGTTGCAGAAAAAAGTTGTTGGGCTTCATTTAATATGCAATGATACTTAATTATAAGTTTTAAGAAACAAATGGCTAGTTTGTTTTGTATACTCATGTAACATATTTGAAAAAAAAATATTTGGTCACCAGAAAGAAATCTATGATTAAAGATATTTTTAAGAAAAAAATAAAGATAATTTTAAGAAGCAATGATCTTTCCCTCTACTCAAGCGAGGACTCTAACATGCATCTATGTGTCTTTAAAGAACTAAGCATAAGGATTAGAATTTGTTACTGGTCGAAATTAATGTCTTTGGGAATATCTTTATTCTAATTATAAACTGGAAATTTCATCACTAAGTCTTTTGGATAAATATTTGAATTCAGCTTTATCGTACGCTGAACAACACAATTCCAAAAAAGGGTTATGCATAATAAGGTGATTACAATAATACATACAAGTGCAGATTATATATGGCAACATTAACTGATATGATGAAAAGCCATAGAGTAACGAATTGCAAGTGCTTTTCTCCATTTGCAATTAAGTATTTTTCCAATCAATATGTTTTTTTTTTAGATATTCTAAAATTCTATACAATATACATTAGAAAAGTTCTTACAAACAGATTGACCGAAACAGAGCAGCTTGATTGTTATTTCAGAATACAATAACTAATTCTAGTAATTAAATGTGAGGTATACAACACAGAGAAAAAAGTAAGAGCAAAATAAAAATTGAGATGCAAATTCGTTTTGGTAAAAGCAATTAATTGCCTTGAATTTTACTTTATTTAAAACATAGTCTTTGTAATAATAATCACCTACATATTATGTTCAAGAACTATTGTTCACAAGTTGACCACGTTTGTTACTCCCCGGGGGGGATTGAACAAACTATTGACATAATCGTATCTGACAAACAATGTTCATGGTAACATTTAAAATTTAGTATTTTTAGATTTCCTTAGTGACTCAAATAACGGAGTCTCTTGTCTAGCGAAATTTAAAGTCATTCACCTTAAGTACACAACCCCTAGAAATGGATGATAAAATTATAAAGAAAATATTTCGATTTAGATTATATATTCTGAGATTAATAAGTTGTATTGAGGATTTATATTTTCGAATAGGAACCCCCCCCCCCCCTCCATTACGGTCGTTAAAATGGCCTCGTTTGAAAATACAACGGAGCTTTGAGTCGTATTTTGACTGACATATTTCATGGCCATTATTAGACTTTGTTTGATACTAATTTTGAGTACGGATTGCCCTATTTACTTGGCGATATTAAGGGGTCACGGCGGTTGTCATCAGTCATCCCGGGGATGGTTACTCCAACTAGCCACCAGATCCTACCTCTAGTAATATCAAGGCTCCTTTTTCAGAATTTTCAAAATTCACAATTTGTATTGTTTAAAGGATTTCAGAGATCGATCACTGTTTGTTTTATATTCACATTTGCCATTATAATTTCTTATCAATGAAAACAAAACTAATTTTTGTTTTCAAAACAAAACTATGTTTTTGTTATTTCTTATATTTTTTGTTTTCAAAACAAAAAAAATCTTCTAAAGAACAGCAAAGTTGTTACAAATCTAACAATTAAAATCCCCGAGGAATTAAACTTGTTTTGACTTTAAACTTGTTTTAAGTTTAAACTTGTTCACTGGCTAGTTTGCTGGGTATGCCAGGGCATTAACTACAATTGAAAATGTGGGATAATTTGCACAACGTGCAAAGCCCGTAATGCATTAATTATTCCATGTTTCCTACTGTTGTTGATGTCCCTGGTATTCCCAACAAACTAGACAGTGATCCCTTATATTTACATTTATATGTGAAGATAAGATGTAAATTTAAATAAATATAGTTGTGTAATACAATTAAGATACACGAAGTATTCAATGTTAATTCCCATAGTCCCAGTCCACAGATGTCAGACACAGTGGCAACCCAGGAAATTGACATGTATATTATGCACTTGACCTTTCACTTGGTGAAATTTACATTCAGTTGTAAATATCGAGAAATCAACACACTTAACCTTCAAAGATTTATCAAAGAGAAACCATCTTGAAATGTAACTGTATCGTTTTTAGTGTCGATAGTGTGGTATAAGCTTTTTTCAAGTCAATTCTGTTTTGGAATGGTTGAAGCCACAATAAAGGTCTATTTTAAACCTTTATCAACTATAATATTGGGGAAAATTTTTCTAAGATAACACGTTTACAAACTTGTGAATATCTATTGACATGAAGCATATTCATGGATTAAAGTATTAAAAAAATTACATATCTCATGGTTTGTCTGGACAGAAATAAGGTCACAAAAATATGTCCGAAATTTTTACAGAAAAAAATACGAGATATCGTTGCAAAAGGAATCTTCTCGAGAAAAATTAACAAGCATTTAGGTTAGATTAATTCTTTTGAATTTTAACAACTGCATCAGGACGGGGATATATAAATGTAATATGACTGAAAGGCGTTGCTATGTTAAAAAAATATATAAATATGTGATCTCTTCAACTTTAAACAGTCATTTGACAGCTGTCAATATTAATTTCTCAATAAAAATCCTAAAATGTTTTCAATGTACAGAACAATACTTTTTACAGATCTTTTTTTATCAAATGTCTTGTAGGATCGAAAATTGCTCAAGCAGGAACTGATCTGGCTATTATGAAGGGTAATGAATCTATTTATTTCTTTTGCTTTCTTTGTAAAATTGAAACAAACACGCATGTGTATATTTTACTAAGTGGTTATAGTTTCCAAACTTAGAATATATTATTACTTCCTGACTGACTGTTTACTCCTTTCTGTTTTTCTGATTTTTAGCTAGAATTGAAGAAATGGATAAAATAATTAAGTCAATGCCTAAACAGATGGAAACAGTTGAAGAAGGTAGAATTTATTTGTAAAGCTTTGAAATTTCATAAAGGATAACATCTGAATTGAATCGAGAAGGAGGAAAATTTACAATCATATATCCCCTTTTTTATAAGATAAGAATATTAATAATTTAAATCTCAGGATCATGTTTTTCCCCCTTCTATACATGTATATGTATAAAAATTGTCAGTTTTTATAACATAAAGTATGATTCATTTCTAAATTCTAAATGCAGCAATTTGTGAATATGATTTTTTCTCTTATTTTGTTTACTATATACTGAACGGAAAAAGAAATGCAAGGTAAACTTTAGAAATGGTTTTATGCTATTTTTTCAAACGTATTTTCCAATATTGAAATCTAACATTTAGATTCCTCTTTAGTCAACAAGTAACCACAATCTCATTTGATTTTGACTGATAATTCATATTATTGAATCTCATCTGAAGGTACCCCCCAAAAGTTAAAATCAAAATCACCTATGCCTCCCTCGCGCATTTTTCACAGCCTTGTTTCTCCTCTGCATGGAGTTCACCAGTGCATTTATCTTTCTCATAAGAATATTATTCAATCATTCCGACAACGTAGCCCCTAGCTGTTGGACAGTCGCTTCGGCTTTCCGATGCCTATAAGCTCTACCGTCGAGTTAGTCCAACAGAAGTTCAATAGGAGAAAAGAATGAACTTAAAGAAGGCCTGTCGAGTTGGTAAATGTGAATGTTTGACAAAAAGTTTTCACAATCTTTGGCTGCACTGGGCTGAAAATTAGACATACGACGCAAATGCGCACGAGTCGAAAAGAACACCGACGTGAAGTTGACAAGATCATAAACCAAAATTGCGGAATAGGTGTCTTTCAGTTTATGGGTGAATGTCTCATTATTATTGTCTACTTTATTAATAGAGGTTTCAGTGGAAATGAGATGTAAATTACACGTGAGGCAGTATGAATATCCCAATCTTGACGTAACGTTGTTATGCACCAACGTCATCATCACGGTTTGTTGGAAACCCTTCAAGTTCCTCTCTAAGGATGAATAAGACGTTCTATGGTGGAAAAATTCCCAACAAACTGCACAGCAACTTTTTTGTCCTTTTTTTTGACTTATGTAATGCAATAAGCATCCGCAGGAACTTCCGTCAGCCGTACCACGATTGCAAGAAATTCAAATTGTCAGTAAATATCGAAAAACGATTTGTATACCTCAGGTGCTCCAAATGGTATTACACGATGTCTTGAAAAACCTGTCATCATTAATATGCTCGTGTTTTTGGCTTTTTACCCTTTTCCTTACATGATGTCATGCATTTCACGGTTGAGTAATTCTGAACACCGATTTCAGTGCACAATAAACAAGATACCCCTCCAACCAGTTTCCTTACTTTTTGGCCAAACAATGAAAAAATCTTGGCGTATTATGTCACCCTGCGTTTCTTTTTCCTTTCAGTATATTATGTACTATAACCTGTTTAAAAATCATATTGTAGATTCTGATAATGAAAGCACAACTACAGGCAAAAAGGGTAAGATGAGATGTGTAAGATGTGTAATTAATTTAGAAGTCTTTTATGTGTAGAGTTGAAAAAATGGAATACTGTTTTTATTTATCGTTGACATATAACTATAACTTGGTTTAAGCCCAGCCAATTAATTATTTTATTTAATTATTCTATGTAATATGTAAATGTTGTTTTAGTCATTTGGTAGTTTTTAATAAATGACATGTTCACTTAATAGGAGTTTTTTCTTAATGTTATATACAAGAGGTATAGCAAAAACTAGCTGATAATAGCCAGAATTGTCTCCTCTCGTTACAGGAAAAATTTGGAGGATATAAATACTGTTTTTATTTTTCGTTGGTCATTTTTGTTGTTTGAACAGATTTAAAAAAAAACAAAACACTCATAAAAACCACAAAGAAAATCAAGAAAAAACAAGGCAAAAAGAAAAAAAAAACAAAAAGGAAACAAGCAAAGAAAAATAAAACAAAAACAAAACAAAAGATAAAAATATGTAAATAAAAACAAACAAACAAATCAAGATATTTTCTTTGCATTAAATGCATTGATTCTTCATACTTAGATCTTCTGAACTTTACATCCAAAGTTACTATTTTTGACCTTCCTTCATGTCATTCAAGTTGATTAATCATTGTTCTCATTTTGTATCAAGATAAATTTCATTAAGTCGCTTAGAAGTCTTCGAAATCAGATACAGCTAGGTGGCAAAATTTTACAAATTTTTAAAGCTTTTTATCAATAAATTTGTTTTATCTTGACCACATATTTCCTAATTTTGATTGCTGAATTTTCATTTTATCTTTTTTAAATGTTAGTAATTTATTTGCTGTTATAGACCTATTTCTTAACAGATAAACCACCAATACTTGTGCACAAGAGAAAAGAACCTAAAAGTAAGTAATTTTACTCTGTGTACAATTTACTATTAATATGACCTGCATTGGTTTAACGTTTTAAGGAAAATAGAATACATTTAATTTCATACATTTAATATACATTTTGACTTCCTGGTCTTTGAATATTTATGTTACTAGTCTGCATGTTATTAATTCAAGTTTTGCCAAGATGAGTCATCTCCTAACAATTTTGGTCTTATATCCGGAAAAAATTCGATACATCTTTTTTTAAGATTTGTTGTTATAATAAAATTCTTCTATGTATATATTTGTTACTCTTGTATTTTAGAAGTTGTGTTCATCATCGTTAATGATTTGTTCAAGAAGAGTAAACCACTTCCTATCTTGAAGAAAACATTAGGTAATTAACATTATTTAAGGTTGTTTTACGACAATACAATTACATCACTACATCATGTTTGTAAGAAAACCTTAGGTGAATGACATGTATATTGATGGTTTACACAATGAAATACTGTAGATTCCAAAATATTGCGCGGAACTAATTATCGAGTAATTTCGCGAGAAGAACCACTCGCGAAATAAAAATACTCGCTCTATTTTTATGGTCTTGAAATCCTTACATGAATAAAATCTGTTGACCAACCGTCCACTCGCATTTTGACGTCTAAAAGTCCTAAGTACTTAATAATAAGGAATCTACAGTACATGTATCACTATTTTCGTTTTTAAGAAAATTGTATGATATGATTTGTACATGTCTCATATTTGGCATTCGATCTGACTAAATATTGCATTTATCTATGTCAGTTATTATGGAATGAGAATCATAAGAAAAAGTTATTTTTGGTTTGTAATTATACGTATGCACATTTAATTTGTTAAATAACGTGTATAGTTTTCTTTAAAACAAAGTCGATTTCTTATTCTCAATAAGTGTTGTTCTTTTAAAAATTAATTCCTTTTTTACCGGTAAGTTGCCAATCAAATGACCGAGTGCATTTTTAATGATCCTTATTACATTTACGAATAACTGTTTGGTCATTTAAATTGGTATTCATATTTGAAAATCAAATATTATCCTTATGAATTTTATAGCTAATCTGTTAAAGTTGTTTGAGAGAGACATGATAGTTAAGGACGACCTCATAGTAAAAATTCACAATGGTGGGAAAGATGACATTATACAAGAGCTACAGAAAATCACATCTCGGAAGGATTTCATTAGCTACAGTATGTTCATGTGTTTTATCGCAACCCATGGGAATTTGGAAGGGTTTAACACGAGTGATGAATACACTGTTTCTTACCAGGATCTTTTTGGACTAGTTTCTCGAAAACATTGGAAAGATTTCTCGGACAAACCGAAGATTTTTTTTATAGATACATGTCGCACACGCATGGACAAGAGAGGTATTACACTTTCTTTTGCGAAAAAATGAAATGCTAAAAATCAAAACCATGCTATCTTTTTTTAACTACGCAAACAAATATTTTTGCATCAAATATTAGGCATCAAATGGATCATTTCATTTTATTTATTCTAGTGAGGGCGGTAAATCATTCCTTTTTTGTAGGATTATATCCAAAATCTCTGCAAATCGAGGAGCTGTCTACACATGAATTATCTGTAAAATGGATGCCTCCAGAGTTTTTTGAGCATTTTGAATTAAACTATTTGGTAAACCTCTACGAGATAGATGGTAACAAAATGTGGATTAAAAAGAGAGAGATAGTTTCCCAGGAACCCAGTTGCTACCTAAACGATCTCAATGCCATGACAACCTATAAAATAAGTGTTTGGCCAGTGCTGGCCAAGACACAGAAAAAGAAAGGTTGGCCAAATCATACAAAATATATCATTCGAGACGTGGGTAAGTTTATTTTCTTCATCTGTGCCACCCAATGTATATTTAATCTATTACTAAGATAATCATCCACCTATATATTTAATCTATTGCGTGCATAAATGTGTACAAGAATGGTTTTAGGAAGATTTTTGTTTACATGCCCTAGACTTGGTCGGGAAGTGAAAGGGGGGAGGGGTCTGCAATTGCGTGTGCTTTCTCTCCATTCAGAACAATCGTTTATGCAAGTAGGAATGTTCTGAAGTTCGTAATGGCGTTTGGCGCCATTGAACAGTTGGAGTTGGAGAAGTGTAGAATACTAGTCTAGTCATGTCTAGTACATGATATTCAGTGTTGGAACAGATAGAAGATATACAGGATATATTTATATATAATTTATCAAAACATTGAAGAAAGAAAATTTAAAATTTCCATTTTATACATATTTACGTCAAACTTTATTTATTTGGTTTTATTCAGCAGTCAGTCGAAGTCCCGATCGAGTTGTCGACGGCTTCGTCTTCGCTGTCCCCTCCCCTTGTCGGCATATTTTCTTGATTGTTTCTCTTTGGTAACGTTCATACATATAAGACTGACCGTCCGTAGTCAAAGGAATATCGTCGATGTCAAAATTTCTTCCGACCATATTATGTAGTCTACTTATTTAACGTTAAAATCTGTTTGTTATATGGTTTCTTACGATAAGCTTTACGAGTTCTAACTGACCATTACACCTGTGACGTTTCAGTACCACGTGACTCCTATCTTCTACTTCGATTTTACGGCCTTTTATCGCCTAATTACGACCGTTTTCAAAATTATTTAATAATTAATGTGTTTCAAGGCATCATATGTTTCAAGAATACAATAGTGTTTCATTTTGAAGAAATTTAGATACGTGATAAAAACCCTTTAATCTATTACTAAGATTATCAACCACGTATATATTTACTATTATTATCAACCACGCATTTCTTTGTTATTATTTTTCTTCACCCTTTCAATATCGAAATTTGGTAAATATTTGTATGATTACAAGGGATGACTAACCTCCAGTGAGAATCAGAATCGGAATTCCGGAAAGGTAATAGCCATACCGGTATATTATAATGAGTCTCCCGCGTGGCGCAGTGGTTAGAGCGTTTGCTCTAATGTCGCTGTGTAAGGAGTTGAGCCTTTCATCTCGGGTTTGAATCCCACTGCAGGACGTGGATACCGGTCCTTTGGATGAGACCGTATAAACCGAGGTCCAGTGTTGGTGCTGGCACGAAAAAGATCCCTCACGACTCAATGGCTCTGATTGCCGAGTATAGGTCTAATTTTGCAGCCCTCCATCCTCAAGTAGTAACGTCTTCGTATGAGTGAAAAATTATCAAGAGGGACAGGAAACAACAAACAAACTATATTTTGGCATTTTTCTCTTTATAAGCTTTCCAAAAGACATGCAAATATTCAGAATTATAAAATATGTACGTGCTGACTACTTAAGGGTGTATTCTGATGATTATGTTGAGATGTTAGCCATTTTTACGGAACTCCTCTGGTTTTACATGTATCCATTAAAATATGCATAAAATTTTTGCCCATTAAACCCTTTTATCTTGATAGTCTTCTTAAAATATTAAGAAAAGTTTAATACCAGATGAATATAAGTTTTCAGAGAGAGAAAATTTCCACTCATTTCTATGAAAAATTCCTAGAAGTCAGGTTTCCCGCCATATTTTCAATGCCTTGTATCTCAAAAATATGCTTACTAACTTATTATTTTTTACATCGTATTTTGTTTGAAATAATGAATACATCGAATTACATTGCCAAAATTGAAACGTTTTTGCAAGTTATCTCAACAGAATACATCCTTTTAACAACAACAACAACACAACTGAAATCTATTTTGCTTATTTTATGACAATATAAGTACTAGTATTTTAAATTTAGTGTATTTTACGACAGTGGTGTATATAAAGATATTTTCAGATTTATTATGAATTGCACATCGTTTCCTTTTAAATATAACATTTTCAAGGATAACAACCGTTCACGGTAGCTCAGTCGGTAGAGCGCTCGCTCCGTGATCGGGAGGTCGTGAATTCGAATATCGGCCGCGACTGACTTAAGTCGATAAAAATGGGTAGCAACTGTTCCTTCGCCATGCGCTCGGCACTTTGAAGTGAAAGTTGCGGATCCTTCGGGAGAGACCTAAAAAGCTGAGGCCCCGTGTCACGGCAGGCGTTGGCACGAAAAAGATCCCTCACTGCTCAAAATTTGAAGCCCTTCACCGGTATATGGCGACGTCTCTATATGAGTGAAAAATTCTCGAATGGGACGTTAAACCACATAATATCAATCAATCAATCAAGGATACCACTATCACCAAAAAGAGCCAAATCTTTTAAACTGTTATTGTTGCTCATATTTTATCAAAAATTATTGTCACTCGTAGAAGTAATCAGATAAGTTTGACTTAGGCAAAAACATAGGGGGCTTTTTTGTGCAAATTCGTTATGTATGGTTAAGTATTTCTTATCTTTACAATCATTTCTTTCAGTGACAATATTTTAATAAAATGAAAATGTTCGTGTTTCAAATTTGCATTGAACTGAAAGGAAATGTTAGGCAAAAGTTCTTACCAAACTTCACGCAACCAACACTGGGTTCCATGTATTATTGTGTACAATGGTGCAGCAAAGCACTAGTTTTTGTTAAGAATTCTGCTATTCGACACAGTTTCTGTGTTTTAATAACGATGCTATGGATGATTGCTTGTTGTCAAAGCACCCCAGTCTCAAAGAATTCATAATGCTATGGAAGGTTGCTTGTTGTCGAAGCACTCCACTCTCAACGGATGCATGATGCTATAGAAGGTTGCTTGTTGTCAAAGAACCCCACTCTCTAAGGATTCATGATGCTTTGGAAGATTGTTTACCCCACTCTCAAGGGATTCATGATGCCATGGAAGGTTGCTTTTTGTCAAAGCACCCCAGTCTCAAAAGAATCATGATACTTTGGAAGGTTGCTTGCTGTCAAAGCACCCCACTTTCAAAGGCTTCATGATGCTTTGGAAGGTTGCTTGTTGTCAAAACATCTCAGTCTCGAAGGTTTCACTGGGTGTTTGGGGTTGTTCAATAGATAATAAGTATTTAACTGGGAAAAGCTGGGAAGTTGATTATTTAGTCTGCAAGAATATTATGAAAATTGGATTTTTTTAAAAAAAAATAAAGGTATTACGTACCAATGAACAGTTATCAAACACAATCTGTGGGTATTGCACATGCAGGGTTCCCTGTTTTTTTCTGTGAATTGAGTGTCCAGTAAATTAAGCTACCCAGAAGAAAACACGTAAACCACTGTTTATTTGAAAAGAAAGAATTAATAAAAGAAACTACATGAATACACGTATAAGCATGTTCATTTTGATGCACTTAACAGTTATTAAATGAATATATTTTGTCTTACGAACAATTTAATATGTAATATATTTTTTGTTTTTTAGACAATTATTATATCAATATTTAGTTTTATTAACAATATTGAGGTAAACCTACAGATGAAAGTTAGTCTAGACTTTGAAACTTATTATAACCAAAGAGTGTACTTTTAACAATTTTGTTAAGTTGTCTGAAAAGTCTTCAGGAGGTCATACATTCTACATGTAAATGTGGGTCTATGTTTTCTTAAAACAATTTACAGTATATCATGCAATATACACGTGTTTATCTCTATGATTTATCAGCAACTATATACAACAACTTACATTATGCAAGACTTGTTTGATGGCTAAAGACAATGCACTTTTGATGATTAATTATATTTATACAATCGACTGCGTGTCCATGCCTTGTTTGATCGTTCGATCGTTCATCTGTTTGGTAAGTCGTAAACAAGAGGTTTCCGGTCTGTCAACCATTTTTCCTGGTCTTTCTCCTCCATACAGGAGACAAAGTTGAATTTATGATGATGTGTCACTGTGATCCAACTGTATGGTAATTCTATATCTTACATCATTCATCCAACCCACACTTGATTGAAAGCATATGTGATTGCAATGTGAGTGAGATCTTGAGAGGATACTATCAAGTAAAAATATTTAAAACATGTGAAATTCATTGTACAAGAGAAAGCGGCAGGTCTTTTTAGCCTTTCAACCTCTGGCTCAATTTTTTAAAGCCAGAAGAAAGATTGAAGTACAGTCTAAATTAATTCTTGTTTACGTGGCGTTTTATTACCTAACTCTTATTTTTTTCGAATATATGAAGGTCATTGCAATTACTGAGCAGATCTGTCACGTGCCCAAACAGTTGCATACATTTCTTGTGGTATCTGTTTTTGAACCCTTTTTTACAAGTTGATATTTATTTGCTTTGTACTTCTGACATAAATGAGTATGTAATTGCTTTCACCGTGTTAGCTTGAGACTGCTTCATTTTCCCTTTAAAAACAAAATAAAAAATATCGAATTCATGCCTTGTTTAGTTTTGCTTAATTTCTGTTTTATTATCTTGATCCAATATTATTTTATATTGGTTATATCATGTAAGATAAGATCATCGTACCAACTGATTTCAAAAAAATTTCTTAGTCTTTAATTTTGGAGTAGTAGAAAAGAGTTAATGAAATATATGGAGGTAACGAAAAGTATTCATGCTCAAAAGTCCATTAAAGAATACAAATTTTGGAGCAGAGCAAACACGGACTCTGAAACATCAGAGGTGGGATCAGGTGCCATGGAGGAGTGAGCATCCCCTGCCGACCGGTCACATCCGCCGTGTGCTATCTGTCATGAACGGAAAATAACGGGAAAATCCGTCGACAATTCAATGTGTAAATAATGGTCTAACAAGTAGTATGAAAATGCCAGTCAGAATTTGACTTAATGATAAATTGTATTCGCTGACAAGGTAATTGTATCGAACATAGAACTTACGAAATGACGACTTTAAACAATACTTATGATATTCTGTTTCATGAACTTGTTTGTCAATAGCTTACCTCGCTTTAGAAATTGTTCATACGTAGAGCATGCTCTTGCGTATCGAATCAACCGAGAGATATATACCCCGTATGCAGGTAATGAAGGTATATTGCTGCAAAAGTAAGGAAAGTTGACGATTGAAAAGTTAAAGTCATCACGTTTATCATAAAGCTTGGTTGTTAGGTTACCATTTACGTCTTTTTCTAGTAAAATATCCAAATGTGAAACAGATATATCGTATCGACATAAGAATGGAAATAACCATTGTTAATTGACAGTACGTCGTCGATATACCTAAATGTCGAATTGAAGGTCACAGCAAGTGTTTTTTTTTCTTTTCACGTATAAGTATAAGATTTTGAACAAATTCTGCTTCATATGAATACAAAAATAGGTCTGCGAATAACGGGGAGCAATTGGTCTTCATGGGAATTCCAATAGATTGTTGGAAGACCTGGTCTCCAAAAACCACATAGATATTGTCAATCAGAAACTCAATCATCTTTTTAATGTCAACTTCAGAGTACTTGCATGCACAATCAGAAATGTTTTTAACAAAATAATTTTGCAAATAACCATTGACAAGGTAAGTAAATGTACGAGTTCCATTTTTTATTGAAAAAGCAGCTGTCAATGATATCAAAAAGCCTGGACTTTAATTTATCGTGGGAAATAGTTGTATATAAAGTTGGAAAGTCTTAAGTTTTTATGTTGTTGATTTTGGTAAGATTTTTTGATTTCAAATTTTCCAAAAGTTCCTTGGAGTTTTTATGTATCCATATCTGATTTACACCACTTCTCCTTCACTACTGTTGATATTTTAGTAATGAGTAAAGAAATAGGTTTGGTAGAACATTTACTGGAACCCGCTATGTATCTTTTTTTGTAAGGATTTTTATGAATTTTCGAAATCCAGTTTAGATATGGTAATTCAAATTCATGTTGGTTGTTGGGAATATTACAAATATTCAAATCTGACGTATGGTTTTGAAGAATTTCCTCCTTAGAAAGGGAGCTATTGGTATAAGTTGGATTACCACTTGTAGAATTAAATCCAAGTTCATCTAAAATACAATTTAAATAATAAGCCTTACAAACAAAGACAATGTACTTGATCTGATACGCCACACTAGACAAACAAATATTATTAAATATATCTGAATGCAAACAACCTACACAACCTGATTATTACGTTTCCTGTTCAAAGAATTGATGACTTCAATGCCATGTGTTACTGTTACATAATAAAAGTCATTGAATTTAGAATGGAACAATGACAAACTTCTAAGGGAGACAATTATCAAGTTAAAACAATATGAACTTCATTTTTGAGAATTATAATTTTGCTGTTAAAATGTGCTGTTTTGTAATTTATTGATGTAATTTTTTATTTATTCATTTTTTATGTTATTTGAACCTTTTTGACCAATTTGACTGAAATGAATTGTTAAATTGTTTCAGAAGAAAGATTTCTGTACAATCTAATATATAGTATAATATAAGGAATCAATGTTGTACAGGACGACAATAATGTAATTCGGCTTCAACCAAAGCTTAAAATTAGTTTTTCCATCGCAAATATGAACAACAGAAGTTTACAAACGTTCTATTGCCATTGAAATATAGTTTATTACAATTTTGTAACAGAAATAGTTAATTTACAATTTTGTAGCAAAAATTTCCGAGATCAATGTTGCAGCTCATATTGCTTTAACCTGTTACGTTTCCATCATAAGTCTAAGATCTAAGTTTTTGCAGTTCTCCAAATACGCAAGAATTTCATTTAATTTCCATTTTCTATTAGAAAATTTGCTAAATATAATTACAGAAAATAAGGTATTTAAGGAAGTTGTTTCTCTGTAGGACGGTAGCACCTCCTTGAGAAACTATGCCCTCCAATATTATGAAAAGTTTTCATAGAGATTGATACTTAATGACGCTGTATTCATTGAAAATTACAGAGGAAAGAAAGGAAATTCAGATGGTGGCCGCATCTACTCATTCTGTGACCATATCATGGTGGTTGGATGATGACGTACAGGATCAAAGATTTACAGCTAAATGCAGAAAGAAAGCCGGAGGAGACGAAATTTCCGAAGAGCTGGAAATCGTGCATGGGAACCAACAGACACATATGATTGACTACCTCAGTAGTAATACTGCCTACCTCATAGGGATATACATCGGATCTATGGTTTATCTCCCGGAAGTCGAAATTAAAACAAGGGCCAAATGTAAGCGTTGTTATTTAACTTTTCTTTTTTATATATATATTTACTTATTAAATGGGGAAATAAGTAAACAATTAATACAATTGTGATGTAAAGATTTCAGATCTGTAACTATAACAAGTGAATTTGTTACTGGTGTAATTATATTCTAATTCTTAGAATTTAGTAAAATATTATTATGATACAAAACTTAAACTTTCAGTACAACCACAAAACTTGAAGTTTGAAAGTGTGCAGTCCTTTGAAATTGTTGTTTCCTGGGAACCACCGCTTCAACAATTTCATGGAATATCACATTACTTAGTAGAATACAGATCAAAATTTATCATTGACTTTGTGGAAGTATCTGCAAAACCACTTTCACATAAGTATGAATGTAAGCTTACTGAGATGGAACCAGACATGGTATACAAAGTACGAGTCTTTGCTGAAAAGGACAAAGCAAAAGGAGACCCGACGGATTTTATTCAGTGCCGAACTCCAAAAGTTGGTAAGTAAAACAATTTTAAGGGGATAAATTTTACTACAATTTCGCAATATACAGCTCAACATACAGACAGTTTTGGGCTGTCTCAGAATTGTAAAAGGAGCTGTTTACCTATTCTTTTACGACTGAAGTTAAATGAAGAATCTTTTTTCCCTGTAGACATCTTTAGACAAACAATCTCTCATAAAAGGATAAAAAATACAAAATATTGTCACTTTAATTTACTTTGAAAAATCTATTTGCTATGACTTCATGTACAGTTGCTGATACCTTATAATATTAGGTCCAGTGGATTTAGAAATAAAAACGGACACTACATCGATATCGATATTTTGGAACGATGCTATACTTCAAAATTCAAAATCTACAATAGCATATAGACTTTCGTTACATTATGATGGTCTAAAAATAACTAATGGATCTGTGGTTGAGTCCAAAAAGAAAGACCCCGCTCACAAATACAGCTGCAGGTTTTCTGATCTATGGACTGGAACACAGTACAAGCTAACAATTCTCACCGTATCAGATGACCGCGTATGGGATCCTCCGATCATTATGGATGTTAAAACAAAGAAAGGTATAATATCTTTGCATTGCAAAATTCGAAAAAAAAAGAATTATTACAAAAATATCTAATTAAGGCATAAACAAAATCGAAATTTTTTTTTAAAGCTTCAGGCCTCTTCCTTCAATTTTTGAGCAGTCACTTGACTCCAAAACAAGCTTTCTTTTTCGAGAATAATCCTCAAGAAATGTTTTGTATTTCAAAAATAAATCGTATCTTCAATCAATAATATTTACAACAGACAGAAACAGAACAAGCTTAGAACCAAGGGACAGTAACTTCTGCATTGTATACAGCGATTCATTAACCGGGACAAGCAAGGGAACGGACGGCTGGTTTATAAATTCAGTGATAAAGAATATCAGGAACAGATACTTACAGTAAGATTTTACAAGTATTCCCAATCTAACGAGGCCTATTAGTATATTGTCTCAAAATACAAATATGATTGAAAAAAGGAATAGTCTGCAGAACCTTGAGCTCCAAATGTAAGGTTTCGGGAATTTTCTACGTCAGATTCGTAAGACATAAATTTGAATTAAATACCTCTAATTTCAACTAATCCCACATTCACTTATACTTTCCAGAGTAAAGTATATGAGTCTTTGTTTGTTGTATTTCATAGACACAATCTGGAGGATATAGTAGGCTTCATACTGGAGGATATTCCAAGGCGACAGAAGAAAAAGCTCCGAGATCCCATTGTTATATCTTCTGTAAAATCTAGCATTGCTATCTAGAATACATACATAAGATAAGATTTAGTGATCATTTTATAATCACTGTATACACGTATCACTATCTGGAGACTGACTATAACACCACGGTTGTTTAAGGATGCCGCCGGCATTTAATCAAATTCCAACGATAGTTATGAAGAACTAGCCATTGTACACTGTAGATCTTGATATGATTGCAGTGCTATGTTAAATGTTGAGTAACTGGGTCAAAGATCTACTTTAATACTAGTGTGACCCTTAAGTATTTTTCAGAAATACCAATATATTTAATACTATGGCACCTGATCCCACCTCTGATGTTTTTGGAGGTCCGTGTTTGTTCTGCTCCCTATTTGTATTGTTTTAATTGACTTTGAGTTCAAATATTGTTCGTAATATCCATATTTCTTCAAATAAATGAATTTAACATTTTAACATGCCTATTTGCTGGTCTATTCATGAAAAAGGGAATGTATATTTCATAAAGGTTTCTAAACAAAAAAGAGAGGATAAAACTGCTACTTCTTTTATCTAGAGTTTTAAATGATCTTTTGATTTATGCATTTTATCTGAAATTAACATTTTTCTAGCATATTCGAGGTAATAACATTTATACTTGTTTTTCAATTTGCCTTTAAATATGTTTTTGAAGAATACAGTTGGCTGGAGGTTTTGCTATGTTGCAATATCTTTAACTGTATGGCTTAAAATATTAAGAATATCATATATTCGATTAATATTTTCTATACAGGATCACATCTTAATTAATTCAAAATTAAAAAGAAAGTTTCCAAAGTAATGGATTTTGTTGATGTGGCAAAAAACCTCCTTTCAAATTTCTGGATCCACTACTGACGAAAACGAAAAGTACTAATAGCCAAGTACAAAACATGAAATAGACTTTTTTTTTTAAAATTAATAAGGAATTTATTACATTTTTAACAGTAAAATGCTTTAATTTATCAATCAAAATGTGATAATTTAAAAGTGATAATTTTCACAATGAAAAATATCTCTTGATATTTTCACTGTCAATATATCAAAAGTACAGCAAAACTGTTGATTTGCATTCCCTTTACGAAGAGTTATAAAGAATCTCCCTGTTTTAAGATAATGAGAGTAACTTAAGCATCTGACATATTAAAATTTCTAAAGTTTCTCCAGATAATATCCATGTTTAAAATTTCTACTCTCGCTGTCACATAGCTATGACATCTCAAAAACGTTCGACTATGACGTCACAGCCTATGACACTGCGTCATGAAGAGACAGAGGAAAACAGAAAATCAAAGAAAATTTAATAACACGAAATTTAATGTTTTGTAGTTGATTTTGAAGTTATAGTTATATCACTCGTGAGACAGGATTTTGATATGTTCACTCTGACTCTCATTCTTGAAGATATGAAAAATGTTCTCTCCCAACAATGAGGTAAATTCCATATTCATAACATCGAATATTGTCTCCAGTCTTTGAACCCCCTTTTCAGCATTTTAATTTTTTTTAATCTAAATATTTCGGATTTCCGATGCTTCGGCATGAGAAACACTGAAGAGACATAATTTGTCGAAATGGGCATCTGGTGCATCAAAATTGGTACCGTATAAGATTTAAATCGTCTAGGCATAACATGTAGTAAGATTTCATGAAAATATATATTTATTTAAAAAACTAAAAAATCTTGATATTTACATTAGCTTATTTTTTCATATTCTAATATGCACATGATCATTCCATTTTATATAACTGAGTAAATAAAATATTCAAAATTAGACAATAATACCATTTATGTAAATTATCTTGCATTTGGATACTGCACGATGATTTGCACTTATTCATTGTTTGATTAATGTTGGGTCCAATTGTGGATATATTTAGCATGTTTCCTATTTAAAATATCAATATCATTCGGATATAAAATTAAATAGGTACACTGTACACCATATACATGTAGGAACATTATACTCAATATAGGTACAGTGTACTCAATAAAAGTACAGAGTACTCAATATAAGAAGTACATTATACTCAATATAAGTACTCAATATAGGTACAGTGTACCTAATATGGTTACTGTATACTCAGTATAGGTAAAGTGTACTCAATTGAGTTCAAGTATACTCAATATACGTACAATATACTCGATATAGGAAGAATTTACTCCATAGAGCTACAATGTACTCAAAAGAGGTAAAGTGAACTCTATTTAGTTATAGTATACTCAGTATTCAATATAGGAACACAATACTCAGTAAAAGTAGAGAGAACTTTTAAAATTAGTCACATTGTACTCAATACAGGTACAATGATACAATATAGATACACTTTACTCAATATAGGTTCACTTTACTGAATATAGGTACACTATACTCAATTTAGGTACTGAGTACTCCATATCTGTAAAGTGTTCTCAATATATATACAATGTACTTAATATAGGCATAGTGTGGTCAATATAGGTACAGAATACTCAATATAATATACTCACGATAAGTCAGTGAACTCAATATAGATACTCAACGTATGCATCACAAATGTCACATTATAAATAATAAACATTGTGTTTATAGATGTAAATTCAAGTTCATTGGAAAATAAATTTTACTGCAACAACAAATCTTTACAATTAATTGATGATTTACAAACAGAATTTAAGCTTAAGAAGATAAACAATCTTTTTAAATCATGACAAATTAAGTCTTTGGGAGACAATTATTTATACATCCTGTTTATGTTTTCTTTGTTTTCTTTATTACTTGTGGTAAATTGAGTTAGATTAAATTGTTATCGTTAGGGCCAGATTCGGATTGAATAAGTCTTATCGATATGTCAAATCGATCTTAAATACATGTATCATTCCTTAAAGAGCTCGCTTGCATTGATAATGAATAGGATCCCAAGCGAAATACCTCTGGCCTTGTATCATTCAGTTTGAAGAGTTGTAAGGTGCAGAGGTGGTACCTGGGTGGTTGAATTCCAACACATGGCCTACTCGATCTGTCAGTTCAATTCCCTTACCAAGACCTGATAACTAAATAATATGGCTTGAGTATTTAACAAAAAAACTGACTGATTAATAAGCAAATCATGAATGACAAATTATCATAGTATATTTTGAAAGAACATGAAGACATAGTTTTCAAAAATTGACATGTACAATGATAATCCATAGCGAGGAGATGGGCAGGGGATACAGTCCTTAATCATGGTACTAAATAATTAGAAGAGGGAAATTAATTTGTAATTTGTGTAAATGTCAGGCAAACACTTTTGCCATGAGTCAGCCATGAATCTTCATTACAAATGGAAATGACGGATCAAAAAGGTTGACCAATCAAGCCTAGGCCTGAGAACTTTAAATGTATGGCCATGTTCTTTGGGTATGACACTGAAGGGAAAAGGCGATAAATTGCGCTGTGGGCTGGTGTAAAGACGAGTTATAACCCCATCGAATAATGTCCGGGGTCATTTTTGACGTCGAAAAATGACCCCGTTTTATTATTCTAAATAAAATAATTGGATCAAGGTTTGTAGGAAATGTGTTCTCACCCAAACACTGAGCATTTGAAGTTTATGAATATTAATGACCACCTCTTGGATTCTATCAAGGATATTATTTTTCTTAGGGTATCTTAATTGAATAAGTATGATGTAAAGATAGTAAAAGATTTCAAATAGTAATGGATTTCAAAATATCATGAAAAACATTTACAAGCAAAGATACCTTGCAGGGTCCTTGTTTGTATTAATTCAATCGTTATATTAATTGACATGTCAGGCTTACGGCGGATGTGAGGTCAATAGGGGATTGCTTACTCCTCCTAGGCACCTGATCCCACATCAGGTGTTTCCAACGTTCCCTGTTTTTGGTCCGTTCATCATGTGTATTCTTTAATGATTGATTCATTTGTTTTTTTTTAAGTCCCTTGCAAGATTATTTCACTGGTATAAGATATCACACATCTGGAGGACTTCAAATTTAGAATTTTAATCGAAACCCAGGGCCTTTAAACAGGGATCTTTATCATACCAACGCCTGCCGTGACAAAGGGGTCTCGATTTTCAAGTTCTTATTCGAAAGATCCGAAAATTTCACATTAATATGTTGAGCACTTTTGCGAAAAAATAGTTGCTACCTACTGGTTTGTCGCGGTCGGGACTTGAGACAACGACCTTCCACGACCGTTCGTGCGAATCCGGGTCATTTCCCTCCAGTGTCTGTTCCGCCTAGGTCATTTCCACCCAGGTCATTTCTCTCCTCGGTCAAATGTTTCCCTCTCTTACCCGGGTCATTTCACTCCACAACCTAGGTCATTTCACTCCCAACATAAAAGTTATTGGTTTATCTATGGAAATGATTTTTAAAAGTAATTTAATTATTTAATTTTAAATTCTATTTGTATTATAAAACTGTTAATATTTTCATACTAGCCCAAGTTATACTAATACAATATGATTATTATTTGAATAAGTATTGAAATCTGTGAATGTTTGTGGGTTAATTAATTCATTCTTGTTTAATGATTGATCAAATAAAATGTGAACACAATAATACAAGTCTTTTTAGAAGTAACTAGATGAAATCCCGCGCAATCCCGGGGAATTGAATTTCATAACCGCTGTCTGATCATTTCAAATAATATATAACTTATGTTTCTTCTGACAATTAATTACAGGCGTATAGCAGGAAGAAATACTTTGTACAAAATCCCCAGTTAGAAACTAACTTAAAAACTATCAATTTCATAGAAGTTTTCTTTTTACGTGCAACTTTATTTTGATACCTGTTCTACTATATTATTACTGTCATACTTTGGGAACTCTGTTTTCATTTCCATAAGAGGTTAAAGAATCGGATATGCACATATTTGGGGGGTAAAAAAGTCTTTTCACCCCCCCCCCCAGAATTTAATACATGTATTTCAAAAGATTGTATGTAGAAAAACCACTGAAATGTATTGATTAAAGCATACTTTTTAAAAGCTTTAGTAAAAATGTGAAAACCTTTTTTTCTTCATGTT